AAATACAAAGAGATTCCAACTGTAATATTTATTGTTTATCTATTATTGGCTAGTAATTCTTGTTTCACCATGTAATTGAGCTTTTTGAAGTTACAACAAATTTCTGCAAGAAAGCTAATTTCAAGGGGTAATATAACATCGTTTACACCAGAATTATGATATTTTAAATCCCTACTAGTTATTGATAATACTTATAAAAGCAGATACTCCGTTTAAAACTATGCCACCACAGGGAAATTATTTGACACCATTGTTTTTGTTTTTGAGTTATCGTGTAATAAACAAGAGGCAGAAGAAAGAAAAACAAGAAATTCGAACTTTTTTGCTATGATATTTACAGACATACCCAGAACTTGTAACTCAGTCATTACATAGATATTGTTATAAAATGAAACAATGATAACCTATTGAGGAGATATTTAAAATACCATTTCGATGAACAATCCGAGACATTCCTTTACTGCCTGTTTGATATAATGTTATAATGGTTGCCTAATGTCTTTAAAGGCCTTTTATCGCATATTAAACTTTAAAAACGAAAATGTTTTAAGAACTAACGAGCGTTGTGTCTTGTGACCACTGAACACAAGTTTGACCTCACACGTGTGTTATGATTGATATATGTCACAGTATGTGGTTTCTAAGATGTTACCGAATGTGGATACATTTTATATTACCTCAGCAAGCTATGACAGAGAACAACGAAAATATGTATTTGCAGTGATTTATAGTGTTAAACCAAGGTATATATTTATAACTCATGGTTAGATTCGGATTATTATGCATACATACATGTGTATGTACATGATTTCTTATTTCTTCGTGGTATGTACAGAGGCGTAACCCAAAACTGTCCCTCCAAAAAACAAAATAGTGAAGTGGCCCTAAGTTAATCACTGCAAGCCAGGTGTTTCTTCTCACGTGGGACTTTTTTTAATCCAATAAACTGCTTAGACATCTGCTTTTGACATTGTATATCTTTTTTATTTGTAGTTGTTTTTCTCAGACTTTAAGCTCCCCATCTGTCACCTAGCACAGAGTATGTTTCATTTTATTTTAAACACTTCGTTTTTAGCTTTTAATCAAAATGGATAACAGTTACTTATAGATAATTATTTTAGTTCCTTTTAAGCTTAATAAACTTACCCTTCCTATGAAACCAACCATGCATCGATTCTCAGTAATCAGAATATAAAAAGTCATTATCTGACCTTTTGCTTGAAATTGTTCTTAGTTAAATAGTCCTTGTCTCTCTGACCACTGAAGAAGTGAAGAGTTTATATATGTGCTTGCACAATGAAACTTATTTTACCGAAAATGTGATTGCCGCCTTCCCCCTTTTTTTTGGGGGGGGGCAAACTCCTCTGTTGTAAACAACTACCTCGTTTACATTCTATGTTTAAGGTTGACAGTTTTGTAAGTTTCTTCTGGGTCATAGAACATCTAAGTTAGTTTTTGATGAATTTCAGCTTTGAAAATGACATTTACGTACTCGTCACAGAACTGGTCAAAAAGAGTTTCGGCGCTGTTGCAGTACTCAATAAACTAAGCAAAATAGCATAATATTTGAAAAATAAGAAAATTAATCAGATCTTTGGTTGAACCATCAGCAATGCTGTCCTTCAATGCGGTTTTGAGTGACAGTAGCTTTGTATAAAAGTCCAAAGATAAATCTTCTTTTCACTGAGCTGCCAGGGGTTTGGTTGATTTAAATAATGCATTGTCATCATTAAGAAGAATTTCAGAAGGAAAAATGAAACCGCTGCAATATAGTGTTCATTCCATAGAATCGGGTTTTCAACTAAGTAACAACAATATTAAAGTTGATATAGAACAAAAAATGTTCCTCAGAGTTAGATAACCTTTAGTATTTTCAGAGTTCATCAAAATGTTTTTTCACGTCGTAAACGTTCTGCAATAAACTAGAGCTCAATGTCTCAAATAGTTGCCTCAAATAGTGGAGATGCGGTAACTATAGTTACTCCAAAATGTTTCCTAAAGCTTGTAAAGGTCTTGGTTGCGGTATATAACATTTTAGTAAATAGAAAAATGTTCATGCCTTTAAACTGAAATAGTTACGATATTTGTAGATTTGGTATTTTCAGGTGAACTGATTTCTCTACAACAATCAGAATTATTAGATCCGCTAGAAAAAGCAAATTCGATCAGGAAATATGAAAAGTAATCTGTGTGTTTGATAACTTGACTGAGGTATAAGTTGCATGAGAAATATACAAATTAGACATGTTTTATGGACAATCTTTATTTAGACATAACAAGAACAACAACAGCCCGTGTATCTGTGTAGACAAATGTACAATTGCTTCTACTGGATCAGTGAATAACTCATCAGTTCTCCGCTTCTCAAGATGTATCTCCGGACTACTCACGATGAAAATTATATAGGACTGAACTAAGAAAGCGTGTGCGAATTCAACAAATAAACTGAGTTTTTGTTCAGTCGACAGCGTCACCTCTTGACCTTTGTTCTTCCACAGCATTGGTTGAGTGCTCGTTCAGATAATTTACAAAAAGATTGTAAGTAGCCAAGGTAAGAGTGACGTCAACGATTCTCATTAAACATTGTGTCCAACAGCTCACCTGCTTTCGTTATTCAGCTTTTAATTTCATGCTAATAGTCTCATCATTTCTCCCCGTGTCAATAAAATAGGCTGCTAAGTGTGATCATCTCATTTCATTTCTTTATTTTTTGTGAAATGCTTTGTTTATTTTTTGGTAGGCACAAAATTAGACAATGGGCTATCTGAAGTGTGCCCACAAATAGTATCGAAACCTGGTTTTTAGCGTTATAAGCCTTCAGACTTACCGCTGAGCCATTGGGAGGGAATCGTGAAATGCCTTATCAATCTTTTTATTCCAACTATCCAGGCATCCAGTCTTAAGGAATAAAATAACCACTTCCTTATGACCCTGTCTCCATTTTTAGCTAGTTTGTAATGATATCCATTCGAAAATCATCTGTATGTTTTATATCTCGCGAAAAAGGTACTTTAAGATTTCAAAAACAATTTTTAATAATGAGCTTCTTTGTTTTTTACATTGGTATCATGATCGATGTCTACTGGAATGTTTGTTCTCAGTTGGGAACTGATCATGTGGGTACAAATGACTAGTTTCAGGCTTATCTTGTTAGTTTCAATGAAACTTTAATTATTTGCTATATTTGCCTCATCGTCAGCCAATAATGCCGACACACTGTTACAGGATGCACTGGTGTTCTGACTTGAGTAGAATAGCAACGGTTGATCTAGATGTAACTTTGGCTATAGTGATGGCAATTACGATTCAAGATCACTGATAGCAGGCATAATAGAGATGCTATTTTTGGCAACTTGTTTTTAAGTATCTCTTCGTTGTTTGTTTATGTGTATATTTTTTGCGCCACTAGAATAATCCATTGTTCATAGTTAAGTAACTTACAACATAAACTGAAAAATGTACGCAGTTAAAAAACAAAAAACAAAACCGAATGGCGCACTTCTCCCAGTCACTCCTGCACTATCGTAGAAGCCTAATGTCCACAGAGCATTGATTGGTCGCAGCAGGACTAGTTTGGTGCAAGCCCGACAGCTGTATCGTCGAAAAAAAAAACTGAATAATTATTGGCCACAAAATTTGAATCAATTATAATTAACAGATTGCTTGACTTCCAATCGGAAGCCTCATTCCCGAGTGGCGGAAACTTATTTTATGCCACTGGAAATACACCCTATAGAATTACATAGTCTTCTCATAACAACGTATCAAGGCACGAAAATTAAATTGCCATATTACTACGATTGTCTCGAAGTGTCTTTAAGTTAATAAGACTTTGGGCAGCCGAAAACAAACGAAACCATTGTCATTCATAGACTGGACTAAAGGTCAAGAGACTTTGCGATATTGACGCAAAACCTCTGTGTGAATGATGATTATCAAGTGTTTGGAACTCTTTACGTTTATGTGAATAAGTTAATAAGGAAAACAGTGTTCCATTGCAACGTACCGCAATGTAAGCCTTTTGCGTGAAGCAGATATTAATTTTTATTGTAAATTATTTGGAAATACGTCATAAAAGGTATCAGCATCCAAACGTATGCCATTTTAAGCTGTGTTTATTATGCATAAAACTTAGTATAGAGTCAAGCAGTGTCAGTTCATTGAATCTGTCAGTGAGTTACCTGTCTCACCAGCTATGCATACACGTGGAAAGTTTAAAAAAAACACAGACAAAACGAACAAAGGTTATAAACCATGGTCTCATGTGTGTCTTAATAAATGTTAAGAAGCTTACAGTTTTCATGATGTCTCGTCAATTTGGCTTTGCATGCATTTGCATTAATGCGAGAAAAGACAACTTATCATCTTTTGTTATTGTTAGATATGATAACAATAGAAAATAAAGCAACTATAACACCAGTGATGGATCCATGAATACATAAATACCCATGTATATATTTCGTTGTACATGAAAGGCACCAACAGAGAAAGCAGTACCTGCTTCTCAGTTTTACTACAGTTTTATTTCGGATTTCTATTTTTAAGGCCCAGCATGGCCAGGTGGTTAGGGCGCTCGAATCGAAATCTGCAGGTCACGGGTTCGACCAAACATGCTCGCCCTTTCAGCCGTGGGGGCGTTATAATTTGTCAGTAAATCCCACTGTTTGTTGGTAAAAGAGTAGCCCAAGAGTTGGAGGTGGGTGGTGATGGTCTTTCACTGCTAAATTAAGGACTGCTAGCGCAGATAGCCCTCATGTAGCGTTGCGCGAAATTCAAAAACAAACAAACAAACACTCTTTTAAATTAATTATGAACGCATTTTCTTGTACTGATTTCTTAAACCGCTGTAAAAAAATTCGAAATAAAAAAATGAGAAACAATAAAAGTGCAGAGGATTATTTTTAAATTAATTAAAATACGTTGGAGATAAAAAAATCCCATTGCTCGCCTTTTTCATGTTTACAACCAGAAAACAGTTGGGTTATCCGTATCATAAAATTTCCTTTTAAAACTAAATTTTAATTCCTTTCTTCTAGTTCGATGAATCATTGGTAAGTTTACTGAATTATAAGGCTACAGTCATAGATTTTATTCCACGCGGTGGGCAGAGCGCAGATAGCTCATTGTGTAGCGCCCGGCATAGCCAGGTGGATAAGGCGCTCGACTCACAATCTGAGGGTCGCGGTTCGAATCCGCATCCCACCAAACATGCTCGCCCTTTCAGCCGTGGGGGGTGTTATAATGTGACGGTCAATCCCACTATTCATTGGTAAAAGAGTAGCACAAGAGTTGGCGGTGGGTGGTGATGACTAGCTGCCTTCCCTCTAGTCTTACACTGCTAAATTAGGAACGGCTAGCGCAGATAGCCCTCGTGTAGCTTTGCGCGAAATTCAAAAACAAAATAAAACAAACATTGTGTAGCTTTGCATCAAAACAAACAAGCAAAACTTTTTCCTCCTGAAATGTTGAGGTAAACGACATTTCGTAACCTTTTTTTTTATTAAATCCGCCTAGTGTCAAGCTTCGTAAACAACCTCCGCAACATACTTTTTCTCGATATTAGTACTTCAACTATGAAAACTATAAAAAGTTCTGCATAACTTTAACATAAATTGTTAAAGGGTAAGCCAATGAAGTTAAGGGAATTACTGATATATTTTCGAAGAGGAAACTTTGAATCAATTAACTCGCGAAATTAATAACGTTATATCGTTCCTTATATATATATATTTGTATCAATAAATCTCAAAGTATCTAAGCACTTTATTTATTTATCTAAGTTATTCAGTTTCTTGCTGAGATTAATTACACTTTATAAGAACAATGTTGCTGTTCTCCTGCTTTCCTTGGAACTACTTCTACATTGTCGATTGTGGTAATTCGCATTCTAATAACTACGTATTGTTGCTCGACACCCTAATTTCTATTGTAACAACTTCTGTCAAAGAAGATGAGATAAACCGTATACATCACATATTTTGAAAAGCTTTCCATCTGCAGATCTTCCATTATAGGTTGACGTCTGTCCGTTTATTTGTTTGCTTTGTTGAAGTTTGCGTAAACCTACTTGAGGGCTATCTGCGCTAGCCGTCCCTAATTTAGCAATGAAATACTAGAGTGAAGGCAGCTAACCATCATCACCTCCCACCAACTCTTGGGCTACTCTTTACCAACGCCCAATGCTAAAAGGGGTGAGCATGTTCGGTGACGGGTTTCGATCTCTCGACTTGCAGATTGCGAGTCGAGAGCCCTAACCACCAGGGCGTGTCAAGCCGACTTCGGCTTCCAGGACCAATTGGAAACAGATTAAAAGCAAAATTTCAGTTGAAGGTGCATAGAAAGATTTTATAGGCATGTGGTCGAATGTAATTGTTGTTATTTTAGTTTCTTTAGCCAATTTTCTCGTGAAAACAGCCACTGATTTCCAATTTTGGCTGGCAACTTATGAACTTTTGGAATGTGAGTCTTCGTCAGCTTCGAATCCTTTTTTAGTATATCCTTGTTATTGTACCAAGACATATGCCTAGCTTCATAACAATGGATTTTTGGGTCGAAAAGTTTTCTTTCATATTCTTAGACTTTAAATTGAGAATAAGGCGTAGTTGTGTATTAGTTTTGAGTGGGGTCTTGTAGTTTGTTAGTGTCTTAAATGCGCTGCAATGCGAGTCCTCCATGAGTCTTCTTTATCGAATTGTTGTATCTTTGGCTTTTTACATAATTTAGCAATCTTTTTATAAGAACATCCTTCTTCGGAAAAGCCATGACACATCTCCAGTCATAACGTTATCTGTCAAAGAAAAGTACTGTCGAATGGTTGGGAATTCGCTGTAAACCAAATATATAAGTCCTAAACATGTCGCCAGTAGTGCTATGACACAACATTGTATCAGTATATGCAAGCGGTTCAGTTAAGATACTGTTAACCCTCTCTATAAAACAATATAAATATATATAAGCAAAAAAGCTAAAATTAAAATCTTAAGAGAATAACTAATGATATTATTTATGTTCCAATGAATACACAAGTTTCATTTTTGAAAGAAAAAATATATATAGGATTAAATATTGTCATTTTATACATTAAATGTTAAATATTATCGTGCACCTATAGTTATTTTCATGTTGTTGCTTTTCTTTCTTTCTTTGAAAAAACTATAATAATATATAACTTGTATATTTGAGCATAAGTATACAGACCTGACAAGATCCATCAAAGTGTCTTCTGTCATAGATTCCTGTGTGACTTTCTCATTTGACACCATGTCTTGATGGTTCCCAGCACCCGGCTTAATGGAAACAACCAGAACAATGCCCATAATGATTGCCAAAACGGTAGTGGCCAAGTAGTATAAAATGGCTCTAACTCCAATCTTTCCAGAAAGTCTAGTATCAAGACTTCCCACCGCAGACATCAGACTGGACATAATGAGAGGAAGAGTAAGGCATCGTAAAATACAGAGGAACAGCTCACCAGGAAAATTTACATACATCACATCTCTTTTGGTCCACGTTGTCCCTTTGCGAAGACCAAATCCGAAACTGATACCCAGAACCACAGACAAAAACGTCAACAGCGTCAAAAGATTTTGTCGAACAAACACCATACATTTATTTCTTTTGGGTGAAGTAGGATCATTGGATACTTCTGGATCCATTTATCTACTTTTCAAATTAACCTTTAAAAAATAAAAAAAGCTTGAGTTTGAAAATTAATGACAGTTAAATTCTCGCTAAAATATGAGTTTATAGATTAGAGGTATTCAAAATTACAGTATTAATTTCAACAACAATCTAACGCAAGGAAGTTTTTAGGTTTTCTGGCGTGTATTAGTATAGATTGTTTTAATTTTATCCAACAATGTTACTTGTTCTAGGACGGAACGTGGCTCAGTGATAGCGTATCTGTGGGTCTAATGTTCGTGTCTCGTGGGTGCGTTATAAAGGTGATGGTCAAAACCTATTATTCGGCTGGATAAAAGTAGTCTAAGAGTTGGCAGTGGGTGCTGTTGACTAACTTCCTTTCTTCTAGTTTATCAGTTCGAAATTAGGGACGGCTTGCGCAGATGGTCCTAAAATAGCTTTGCGCGAATATCGAAAACGAAAATTACTTACTCAAATGTTTTAATATCGATATAGTAATACAAAAGCAGTGGTTTTAACATATTAATTATTTATATTTTTTTTCTTTTTAATAGAGTAATTAGCTTAACACTGTAACGTTAAATATATTTAAAGCATGGAGGGGATGTATGTAACATGAGAAATATAGCATGAACTATATTTGATTGTCCACCTGAATGGAATCTTATGTAAGCAGTAGCCTAAACGGCCATGTCAGAGACCGTTACAGTTTAAACAGAGCTCTCCCCTAATTTTGAAGAGTAGATTAATCTAAAGGGAAAGCTTGTTTGTTTTGAATTTTGCACAAAGCTACACGAGGGCTATCTGCGCTAGCAGTCCCTAATTTAGCACCCACCGTCAACTCTTGGGCTACTCTTTTACCAACGAATAGTGGGATTGGCCGTCACATTATAACGCCCCCACGGCTGAAAGGGCGAGCATGTTTGGTGTGACGAGGATTCGAACCCGCGACCCGCAGATTGCGAGTCGAGCGCCCTAACCACCTGGCCATGCCGGGACAAAGGGAAAGCAACAAGTCGAGCATGTACTCTGAACCGAACAGGGAATTTGACTGTCACTCTTGTAACGCATCAATAGCTGGAAATGCAAAGCGTGTTTGGCCACATCTCGCACCCGAGACCCTCGATGAGTTGACCACTAGGCCACAAGGGCATGAAAGTATGATCATAAAGCAAATATTCATACATATTAAATGCTAAGATAAAGAAATAATTCGATGCAATGGGGAAATATATGAAAAAAATAGGTAATAAAAGGAGAAAAGTAAAATGTAAGACCAATAGATTTAAGAAGAAATGGACTAACTAACACTTTAAAATTAAATAACATAATTCCACTTTCATTTATTTTAGAATCGTTTTAGAAAGTATTCATTTTTGCCTTTAGTTTTTTATTACCAGTTACAAAGGGCATGTTAAAATGTACGATAAAAATTGCATTCGTATTTCCAGAAAGCTACTAATTATTTAAAATGGGAAAAACGTGCATTAAAACAATTAAAACACGAAAAAATACTCCACTATAATATAGTTTCTCGACCATAAAACAATTGTAAACGTTCTGCACTTACAATAATTTATGAAAGACTGATTTAGTTTAAAACTCACCAAAAACCAAGTAGTTTCTTTGAAGAAAATAATTGATAACTCTTGAGGTTAAGGTTTAAAGAAAATAATGATCAGTTTCAAAAGGACGTGATACTAAACAAGACAGAGATAAGACGAGAAAGTATAGACGAGTTTTGTGTCTTACTCTTCTTCGAAGTAGTTTATATGATAATGAAGTATATTTTTTCTTATCTCGAATTCGTCCAATTGCTAGTTCTCACAAGTCTGTTCAAAAGATTAAGTAGAATACTATTGAAGCTTTAACTTAAATATGTATGTAGCATGGCAACAACAGAGGTGTACACCAGACAGATAACTCTTAAAAAACACACACCGTATATTAACTTCTAATTTACATTTTCAAAAATGAAAAAGAAAAAAAAACGTATAAAATATGATGATTCTATTTAACGTATTATCCACGCTTAACTTAAGATTTCTTATACACGCAAAGGAGTATCTTTACTCAAGTGTTTTCAATATTCGTTTGTCTGCAGATAAGAACTGTTTTCAGAACCATTCTTGACTTTTGACCAGTAGTTCATGTATCATTAAATGTGTATCACTCATACACTTATTAAAAAGGAATGTTTTAAGTCTGAGTGGGATTGCTTTCAGGGAAGTTTTGACAGTTTCGTTTCCGAAGGTATTACTCCTCAGTATTTAACCAAACAAGGACACAGTTCATAGAAAAGAACTAAGAGAAAGATAACTTTATACATATTTTGAAGTTTAGGAATTGTGTATAACCATGGATAAAACATGTTTATAATCACATTCAAACACATGCCTTTTGTCAGATAGCCGCACTGTATTTCCTAGAATAGTACTAGTACTTGATGAAGAGTGTTTGCACGTAGCCACACTCAGTAGCAGACTGGGCCCCTTTTAGGACAAAGGCTTATTAAGGGCCTAATAATTTGTCAGAAGTATGTCAAATTGCACTGCATATTTTCAGACAACGAATGAGGAATCCATAACTTGTAAAGAATAAATAAATATCTTGCTAGAATACATTTAAGTTTATTTTAAAGACAGCCCTTAACTCTTAACTTAAAATAGTACACACTTGTGATATTATCATGTTCATTGTTATATGGAACTCATGTGTAAGAGTATAGTTCATCACAGAGATTTGGTGTGTATAAAAATTAAAATACATATATACTTTATGTATTATTATGTTCCCGTTCTATACGTGCATAACAACTACACGAAATAATGCATGTAAGTATCCAGTGTTTGTGTGCATTAACAGTATCTGAAAAGATGAATTCAATATACCAGCAGCCGTCTGTATTCATCAAATGATTTTAAGAGCATTTATATGATTTGACTGTTTGGTATTTCAGCTAGAATGTTGGTTTCACTGCTTGAGGGCTACGAGATGATCAGCTGTCAACAGGCTCCTCAATCTTGTTTTTATTATCTTTAGCTTCGTGAAATATGTCTTTCACAGTGAACTTGAGTGATGGAAAGTGTCAGAAGAAAGTGATATACTTTATATGAGGTGTCACATGCTTTTGAATGTAGGATGTAGTTCTAAAGAAGCTGAAAAGCACACGTTAAACACCATTTCCACCTCCGGGAAGTTTTGCACGAAATAATGTACTCGTGTTATACTCTGTGTTTAGTTTCAGATGCATCAGTGGTGTCACCCTCCTCAATCAACACTTCTTCTAGGGCAATGTACTGGTCTTCTAAACTTGGATTTATCTTTGGATACACACTTTCAAAATGCTCCAGTTCAGAACTTACTATTGCAAGATCTAGGTGTGACCTAAGCTAACCTATCTTATTCAGTGATTGAGAAGGCAGGTCCTTTTTCTTTATGTCAGCAAAACTCTTTGAGTCAAAGCACTACATGTCAGCATACAGCTGACCATGTTCTGCAATTTGTCTTGTCAGACTTCCTATTGTTTAATCAACTACCACGCTGTAATTATCAATTCTTTATGCAGTCATAGGTGATGTAGTTACATTATCTTCTGCAGATCTTATTACATCATACTTAGCTTTTTGCTTTCTCTTCCTTTAGACAGACAATTTAGCTGATACCTTGATTTCATCACATTCCTCAACATTTAAAAAATCTGGCCAATCATTGTAGTAGAAAATTTCATTTCTGACATTTTCGTCTGTTCTAGCTACAATGCTTTGCATGTCATCTCTCAGTACTCCCAATTGAACTGTACACTCTTGTATTTGCCTGCAAGCCTGAACTTAATCAAGTCCACATGTTTGAAGGTATTCTAATATAGGTGTGACATGATGTGAAATGGACATGAATGTGGGAGCTTTCAAAATTATTTCATAGCCCAGAAAGCCCTCCAGAATCCTTCTAGCCTCTGTTTTCGTGACAGCGTCATGTAACTTTCAATGCTGGAATATAACTAGACACTTGATCATGTCTGAGAAGACAGCTTTGGAATGGTTTGTAGATGTCCAGAACACAGTTGATAATGCCCTTTATTTTTCTAATCAACGAGTTTCAACCACCAGCTTAATTATCTTTTTCCAGATATCCATTCGCTTGTAAGAATTGCAACAGATCGAATAATGATATTGCTGCAACACATACCTTTGTCGATATATCATACCTAAATTGAATGAATATGCATAACACCACACGTGACCATTCGTATCCACAGCAGAAAAGAGCTTTGTCCAAAAGCCACTGTACCGTTCATGGTAAGTCGCTACTCCAACTGTGCTGTTTTAAACACACTTGTTGATATCAATGTTTTAATAATCTCCATATACACTAGACCGTACAGTCCTTGTACACTATCACTGTGGCCGTAAAAGAGAACGAAAGCTAGGAACCTTTCAGTTACTTCTCCACCAAGCACATACCGGACTACTACAGCATACTAGTCAGTTGTAGTGATATCTTGTGTGGAATCAATCTGTACTGAGAACAAACCAGCATTTCGAACTTCGTCAGATATAACGTTCTGGATTATATCATTCATTGTAACAGGCAGCTTATTGACTGTTGTTTTACTCATGGAAGTAACTGAAGCTCCTCATCAGGTAGCTCCAGACTTTTTGCGTTCCTTGGAGTTAGTAATTTCTTTGTTCAAATGGTTTGAGGGTGGCATGTCATACTGACTCAGAAAGAAATATCAGTTCCTAGAAAACATCGTGATTTGTTTAATATTTTTCCAGCTCTTGTGCAGCTTCACCTCTGTGTCCTCTAAATGGATGATAAAGCTTTCTAATAACCCTGATAACAACAATAATTCTACCAAGAATTTTACGATTTCCCTGAACTTCAAGTTTTTGTTTATTAGGTAGCATGTCAGGTACATAGGACAAAATTTGTCCACTTTTTATGTTCATCACATGCACTTCACAATTTTGCATGTGTTCCTTAGATCCTTCATATTCCTCTACACGTTGATGAACATGGTGCCAGTCACTGCATCCACGTATAAATGAAGACCTGAAATCACAGGGAAATAGTGCAGAAAATCTTTTGTTGCTGATTTGAAAAATAGAGTCATTGCCTCTTAATGTTTTTTACCATCAACTGTTTTTCGGTATTACACATCCGGGTCGAATGGAATATTTTCAAGTGGATGAACCGGATGTTGGACAAAAAAAAATGCTGTGCATATCGTGACTTGATGGTTTATAAAATATGTTCACACCATCAAAGATTTCACTTTCATGAGAGTCGTCTGCTCTTGTCTCTGTGTCTTATTTCTCACTGATGTATGGGTTATCCGTGTGTGTTGCAGCTGTTGATGTAACATCATCATCATCTTTGGCTGAATGAACAGGTCGCATAGTTTCAAACGTTTTTTCATGATCAGTTGCTTGTGTAGCCTCTTCACTATTTTGAAATGTTCAGTGTGGGAAGCAATTTTTATTGTTTTCTCTATCAAATAGATTAATAGAGATGACAGCGTCCTTATATCATGTAAAAATCAAATTTGTGACATTATCGTATAGAAATAATTTACACATTATAATTCTTATAAGATTAATCCGGCGTATTATACTTTAATTTACACACCATTCTTATAACAGTAATCCGGCGTATTGTACTTTGCAAGTTTCGCTGATTGTCACCAGCAAACTTTGTCGATGTCAGGCAAAATTTGCCGTCGCCATGTACGTGCAATATATCATGACGGTGTCATTATCAATCAGACCTGTACTGACCAGCTACACTGGTTATCAGCTCCTTATGCCACTTGGCATAGAGTCTGAAGTGGTTTAGAACTGCTGATTAAGTGTGCGGGCGCCACGGAAAATATCTGTTATAAATGTCTAAAGTTCATTTATTACGATATGATTTTAATTGTTGAAAATATATATTATTGTGCATAATCTATTAACATATATGAAATACTGATACTGATGAAATAAAAAATAACTTACACAGACACGAAACAGCTTTGTATTTGTTGATTTCCTCGCTAGAAGGTTTTGAAATTTCGAATATTATGACTGATCAATCGCAGACCCCAAAATAAACATTCAACTTGTTATATAATAGCCTATTAAGCATTTTACTAGCCAACTTCTGTACAAAATTATTATTTATAAGCAAAGTATTGGTAATCTAATAATCTTGTAGCTGAAATACAAAGCTACAGATATACTGTTCAGTCTTATTATTAGTGGCGAAATTCACCAAACACCGGCAAATTTTTGCCGGTGAAATTCGCAGGAAAATTGCCAAGCACAAACATGCCCATTACTCTTAATATAATAGTTGTAAGTTGAGTTTATAACAGTGATTGTTTGTTTGTTTGTTTTTGAATTTCGTGCAAACTACACGAGGGTTATCTGCGCTAGCCGACCCTAATTTAGTAGTGTAAGACTAGAGGGAAGGCAGCTGGTCATCACCACCCACCGCCAACTCTTGCGCTCCTCTTTTACCAACGAATAGTGGGATTGACCGTCACATTATAACGCCCCCACGGCTGAAAGGGCGAGCATGTTTGGTGGGACGGGGATTACAACAGTGCATTATTTTGCCAGTATACAAGTTGAAGACCTATAAGTTTCACACACAACTTATTATTGTTAGCAACTGTAGCTAACAATTTTAATATGTTTGTGGAAAAGACA